CTTCGCCCAGCCAAAACAGGCTCTCGTCAGAGCCAAGAGGCCGCAGAATCGGTTGCTCTGCAATGTTCTCGAGCTGCCGCCGGCGTGCGATGCTCTCTCCGATCTCGGACATCTCCTTGCGAAAGCCGACGAGCTGCTCATTCACTACGGGGACGTCTCGGACCCAAGCCTCGACCTCGCCTATTCTGGGCACCCGGGCAGCAGCACGCGAGCCGTTGGTGCCACCCTCGGCATGGATGAACAAGAAGTCCCCGCGCCGGACCCCGAGTCCATCCGAGGGCGAATCGTGCATGGCAGCTGCATCGGACACACCGTGGGGATCCAGTTCCAGAGCCGAGATAAGCTCAGTTTTCCCCGTCTCAGGGACGAGCACCGATACAGTGCGATCCGGATTCACGGCCTGTATGATGACAGCTTGGTTCTCGTCTTCCCGATTCCAGAGCGCCCAGTCGCCCGGCCTACGGCTAGTGAGAGTGGGAAAGGACAGAGTCTCGTGAAGACACACCAGCAGTCGTACTCGTCCGGATTTAGATACGGAATCAACTCCGTCGAACGCAGCGTCTCTCTTGTCCCATCTTGCCATAGGACTTGCACATGAGTGCGAGTCTCCGTGACCGCAAATGTCTGGATCGGAATCTGGGTCCCGTTTTCAGGGCCATGCATGGTCTTGGGACCTTTATCCGGGTCTTTGAACTCTACACGATCGCCCACTCGCATCGCAAGGTCAGAGACGCTTCGGATAAGCGTCAACCTCGACATGTCCTCGGCAGTCCAGAACTGCTGCGGTCGCTGTCGCGTGGCAGTCACAGCCGGATCAAGCTGGGGAACCGGGTCATTCAAACCGCACTCTCCGTCGCGTGCCACGCACTCACGGCTTGACTGATGGCCAGCCAGGTTATGGCGTACACCGTGTGAGTGACTTGCACACACATGTCTTGCGAGCTTGGTCGCGTGTTTCCAAGCAGAAATCCAAACAGATTGTAAACTGATGACGCTGGCGCAGGAAGAATGTCCTGACGCAAGCTCAATTCATGTGTGCGCAACGAGGGGTGTGACGTACCGGACCTCGCTCGCCGATAGATAGCCGGGATCCCAGCTCTGGGAGACGCACGATCTCCTTGTTCGATGTCTCCACGAGGACTTCATCGTAAAGCTGGTTGCCGCACTGAGTACTCAATTCCAAGCTGCCGATGGCACCGTACCTCGATGACCTGACCTGTGATACGCGAACACGAGTCAAAAGCGAGAAGAGAAGACGAAGACGAGAAACCCGATCAACCTATCCAATCGTCCACCACCACAAGGTCCCCCACCTCTGCATACGTCCGGTCCGCCAGTTCTTCAAGCTTGGTCCAACCCCCAACACGTTCCCCGGTGACAACATGCTCACAGCGTCCCTCTACAGTCGATTCTGTGATGACTCCCGAGACGAGGCCGTCAACCGTGCGCTTGCAGAAATCGCCGGGATGGAATGTCCGGTCGACGAGAACGAGCTCGGCTTCGGGCAGTATCTGTCGATCGAATTCGTGGCGATGGGAGCTGTCGGCGTCTCGGAAGAAGGATACGCCTGCGGTCGTTCTCAGTGGTCGGTATACACGCGGACATGAACTGAGCGGCACGCGATGCACACTACGCACCGACTTCTCCCTGGCTGAGTGGTCGCATGAGCGGATCGCTCTGGGCAGTTGCTGGCGGTATCTCTTCGACGTCATGCCAGCATCTCTACGCTTTCGTCCAGCGGTGAAGGGAAACGGGAAATGAGATCTACCATAACAATCCCAGTAACACCCTGGCCGTCCGGCGATTGTGAGGTTGGAGATGTGACTCGGCGGACGACATCTTGCTGGTAGAACTAGGCAAAGTTGAGTTTGTTGTACGAAAGCAAAGGGGACAACGACCTTTGTCTCGATATTTCGGCCCATAAGTGCTGCACTTGGAGGTGCATGTATGATCGCTTCCGGAGAGCGATTACCGCATCGAGTCATCACTGCATCACGGCCGCGTGATTGACAAGGGCAACATGGCTTTCCGGTAAATTCTCTGTATTTCGGAGAGATACAGAAGTAAGTAAACGAATCTGTCGTGGATATAAACATGGAGAGTGATAAGCAGCCTCCTATGTGTGAGTATGTGTCTCTATTTTCAGTAAGGCATATTAAACTTGCCCATCAACCACCATTCATCCACTGCCTCGTTCGCATCATAATCGAACTGGACCAAGTACGTGCCCCAGGTTGCAGCCAGGATGTCATCCGAGATGTCATCCACATTGACCAGCGACAGCGACAGCTGTTGATTCCTCATCTCGCGCGCTGGCCCAGGAGGGAAGGTGATGACAATGAATGCCCCCAGTTCAGATGCCTCCGTTGCCATGGAACGCGCAAAGCGGACTTGTCGATAGCCTTGCAGGAGATACGGAATTTGGTGGGGGGAGCTGACATGAGAAAACACGCGACCGAGGGCAAAACCGTCTTCCACCTGCAGAAAACTAGAGTCAGAGATGGCAAGAAAGCAGCAGCACACCACTTACAGCCATCGATCTGTTGAGACACGGAATAACCATCTTTGACTAGAATGCATTGAAGGCCGGAAGAGAACTTACGAATTGTGTGTGGCGTTGATCTGTAGAGGCTTCGTTGGATACGTCAATATCGGTCGTGAAGAATGCTCACTGTAATGGTATGGGCGGCATCCCCAATGACAACTAGGCCCGTGGGATGCACGATGCGACGGACGATCGGCACACGTTGTATCGTCGAATGGAAATGATGCGCAATCTTGAATAATCGTTCGACACTTGAGGTGCGAATTAGCGCGTTCTTGACTGGTTTCACCCGTGCAGCTCACCGAGGTTCTAGTCCAGTAAGGGCCACATCGGCTGCGACGGTAGGTCGAGCATTTGGGTCCCAGTCTGTGTCAACATCGTCGGGCAGAATGCCAGTGACGCGAGTACACGTCAGAATATACAGATCATGGCCAGACTGGGAATAATTAACCTCCGCGGTAGGTAGATTGACTGCCATGAACCTTGTGCCCAGTGACAAGAATGTTGGCGCCAGGCCAGATCATAAACTAGAACCAGATCAGAAAGCTAACGATCAGCGAAAAGAAAACAGGCGAACCTCATTGGTCTGAGCAAGTGAGACTAGTGCAGGGTCATCTCGCATCGCAGAAAGGCTGATGGAATAAGAATGCCTGATTCATGTGCCAAGTCGATCAATGGAAGAATGTCACGTGCCAAGCCACACTCACGAAACAATCTCAGACACTCCTGCGCTGCTCTGTTTCTCAGAGATCGAGTCCCCGTCGCTGTCGTAGTCGTCTTCGTCCTGTTCCGACTGCTGGTTGATAGCGCCCATGACGATTCCATCTCGGCCGTCAGCCCCAACCAGCTAACGTAAGAGATCACGATCGAAATGATTCCGTGGAAGCACTTGAGTGGCGTACCAGATCACAGTCCAGGCGGTCGCCTAGAATCGTTACCACTGCTGGTCTCTGCCCATGTGCCGCATGTACCGCTGTAACCTCCGTCTGGAACTTGAGCTGAACGCCTGCGTTGCGGCAGAGACCCAGTAGATACTGGATCAGAACGTCATACTGGACATATATCTGTCAAGTAGACAACATCAAAGGAACCACGGAGGAACTCACGGCAATCATCCAGAATTTACACCCCAGATCTTCCAACACTTCGTCGATGAACACCATTCGGCCAATGACCTTGGAGGATTCGCCTGAATGAAGGAATGGGTGAGACTCAGACGGCGGCTTAAGCGCATTCGCAACCTTCGAGGAAAGTCATCCTGCAGAATGGAGATAAGAAGTCGTTGCATAGAAGAGTAACGGACATCACCCTTCACACTCAATACCATGCTCTCGCAACAACTCTTTGCCTCCGGGCAATGTCTCCAACAACCGTGACATATTGGGCGGAACTCGGACACCGCCATGCGTCTTGGTAGAAATCCCAATCATCCATACAGCAGTCGGTCAGTGATAGAAGGGACCCACATCGACACAGTCATCACGTTTGTCCAGAACAATCACCTCGTGTGCAGAACCACGGAGAGTATACGCTGCACAGAGACCAGCAATACTTCCTCCAATGATAATGCACTTGAGGTGGCAGCACTCTCCTGAGTTCAAGTCATGAGTCGCGGATGAAGTCATGGCGGTCTATGAGCGGGGCCGGAGTACGGAGCGAGGGGGATGAAGCCACAGGCAGTTTTAAATTTGCGCTGACAGCTCTTGAGCGCCATCATCAAAGCTCGGGTAAAGACAAAGTCACAAAGGATCCGTCACAAAAGCCCCGCTGCATCGCGTGAACAAAGTCGCGTCCAAACATCGCCATCATCGGCTTCTCTGCCACCACAACTAACACCTTCGCACCGACACTCCTATATACTGACCACCGCTGCTGATAACACCCATGACGACGTGCGCTCTCTCCAGTCGCGTCTCCGAACGCGTGACTACCCACAATCCCAACAGCGAAACCAGTGCGACGACACTCGAGGCCGCGATCGAGCAAGCAAAACGCGCTTTCGCCCTCGAAAAATACGAGCAAGCGGTCGACCACTACGCGACTGCACTGGAGCTTGTGTATGTCGCGTGTCCTCAGGGCTGCTTTCTGCCCATCTGACGCGTCGCAGCACACAAACACACGGTGACGACGCGCCGGAGACCGCGGATCTCTATTTTTCGTATGGCAAAGCGTTGCTGGAGAATGCGATCTCCCAGAGCTCTGTGCTCGGGAAGAATGAGCCCGAGAACGGTGTCGAAGAGGACGAGCCTGTCGGTGCGTGGCACGCCACCCATTCGTGTGTCTTTTCTGACGTTACGCGAAAAGAGTCCAACTCCAAAAACGGGCCGATACTCTCCTTCTCGGGTGACGCGGACGATGAGGGCGTGGACCTGCTCAGCGCAGCACAGAACATGGTCGACGGTGACGATGAAGACGAACAGGAAGGGGAGGGCGACGAAGATGCAGAGCCGGAAGATGACTTCAATGCGGCTTGGGAGGTGCTAGATCTAGCACGGGCGATATACGCCAAGCAGAATGAGGAAGAATCGAATGAGGATGTACAACTCAAGCTGGCAGATACTTATATCGCATTGGGGGATGTCTCGCTTGAAACAGGTGCCCGACACTCTACTTGACATTCACCGACAGTCCTCACAGACTTTGCAGAGAAATTCGACCAGGCCATTACAGATTACGAAGCCGGCCTGGACTTGAAAAAGGACTTGCTACCGCGCAGTTCGCGGCAAATCGCTGAAGCTCACTATAAATTGAGCATGGTGCTTGATCTCACTTCGGGACGACTGGGAGACGCCATTACTCAGGCTGAACTGGCTTTGGAGAGCATCCATTGTCGGATGGAGGCACTCACGAGCCCACCACCCGAAGGGCAGACACCCGTCTTGGCTGCCCCCGACCCTAAAGGGAAGGGCAAGGGCAAGGCCATCTCGACGCGTTTGATACGAGACGACGTTGCGGGATTGTCGCCCGCAAAAGTGGAGGCTGAGCTGAAAGAGCTAGCGGGATTGAAGGAGGATTTGGCAATCAAGGTGCGCCACAAACATTCATGTAGAGACATCTGACGTGATTTGGCGCCCAGGTGGAGGAATTGAAGACACGGCCGGATGAACCCAGGAAGGACGCACCGACACTGGCGGCTCAGGTTCTTGATGCAGAACTGAACAATGCCATCGGAACAGCTGGGGGTTCGGCCACCGTGAACGATCTGACCGGGATGGTCAAGAAGAAGAAGAAGGCGCCTATCCCTGAGACGGCATCTTCACCGGCCAAACGGAAAGCTGACGACGAGGGGGAGACCAGTGAAGGCAAGAAGGCGAAGCTGGACGAGTGAATCTATATCTCTCATGATGCATTAAATGATTCGAATTGCTGTGACTTGGACGCGTCTGGGGAATGGATGCAACGATTGGGCGTTTATAAAATAACCGCTCAGGAGATACAATGCTCAGGGCTGACAGCGGCTTGAGCGCCAATCTGCTGAAAGCTGGAACGTCGTTACATGCATCTTGCGGCATCAGCACGTTGATCCACCAGTTCCGCAGCCTTTGCACGTAAAGTGAATCACGCCAAGTTGTGCAACTTGGGCTGATAGAGCGCGATTTGGCCGCAACCAATGGCGAATGTGTTCGTATGTCGAGAGCTGAGCGAAAATAGCCGTGGTGCGTGTAATGAGCGATTGGAGCAAAATGAAGCGCCAAGAAGCGTTTCATGAACCGGAATGCATCACAGTGCGAACGGGCGCCTGACTGAACAATTTTTTTAGCGACCGGGGGTCGCGTATATCAGTTGCCTGCTTTCAACCCATTCATGACTCAGGACTTTTTGCTGGATCCCCTGCTAGCTTCCAACCTCACCTAGCCATGTTACCCCGTATACCGTCTTACCGTGCGTCGTCGCGCTCGTTGGTGGCCGCGCAGGGGCGCAGGGCATCCTACGCTGTCCGTGGCCGAACATTGCCGTCTCTACATTGCTCATCGTTTCGGTAGACTATCCGCGGCCTAAGGCAACCTGCCCCAGACCCTGAAGACACTTTACCGTCAGATAATGTATTTCTATGCCCATCTTTACGGGGAACTTCGTGTTGAAGCTCGGCATCTACAGGACTTCATCGTTTCCATCCTCCGTGCAAATCCCTCCCTCCGCGATACGCGCTCTTACCTCGCGTCTTTCGGCCCCCGACCCAAGCTCCCCACATTGGTCGAGCAAGTCATCCCAGCCGAGCCAAATGTCCCTATCGCGTCGGCGACTCCCGTCATTCCAGATGGCGTGAAAGCCAGTCCCGTCGTTTCGTCGATTCTTGACCCTGTCATCCGTCGAACCGCACTGGTCAAGATTCAGGGGCCGTTCACAGACGTCCAGCTGGAGAGCATCGCTCGTGGTCTGGTCTATCTTGAGAAATTGGGTCTCGTCAGCGTCATCGTGGTGGAGAATGATGCTGTTGCCCGAGGCGATCAGGAAGAGCGGTCATCATTGGTTGAGGAGACCATGCGCATCGTCACGACGCTGGAAAAGCAGGGAGCTCGTGCACGGCCTGTCCTTGGGACCATCGCCAAGCTTGGACCGAAACCGGGTGACGAGGATTCGCCCGAAGATATCACTCCCGAGGCACACACCTTCCCTTCGGATCTTGTACCCATCCGTTCTGCTCTTCGTGCGGGGGAGATCCCCGTTATCCCACCCTTTGCCCTGGACTCCTTCTGCCGATCTGTGCGGGTGGATGCCAATGATGTTCTCGGTGCTCTTGCGCGTGGAATGGCAGAAGCTGCCGAGAACGACCTGGACGAAGAAGTAAACCTTACGCCTCTGCGGCTGATGATCATAAATCGCGAAGGAGGTGTGCCATCGTACGCGCGCTCTGGACTGCCTCACCTCTTGATCAACCTTACCTCCGAATACTCCTTCATCAACGACACCTTTCACGATCCATGGCGAACGACGCATCCGACGGCCTTGGCTAATCTGGCATTAGCCCGGACTTGTCTGTCTTACATGCCCCCCACTTCGTCTGCTGTGATGGTCTCGCATCGATCTCCTAGTTCGTTAATCGCCAATCTGATAACGAACAAACCTGCGTTAAGCTCAAGCTTACCGCATGCGTTACTGCAGGGCAATCAACGGCTCAACACGCATACACCCACGCTTCTCCGTCGCGGATCACCGATCCGTGTTCTGCGCTCTGTCGAGGAGATCGACCGTGCAAAGCTCGATGGGCTGCTCGAGCAATCTTTCCGACGGACTCTCGATCAGGCTGCCTTCTACAAGCGGCTGGAGCAGACGCTGGACTTTGTCATCGTCGCCGGCGACTATGCCGGTGCTGCGATCGTGACCAACGAGCTAAATCCGGGCTCATCTGTTCCCATCTCGTACCTGGACAAATTCGTGGTTCTCCCAAGTCACCAGGGCGACGGGACCGTCGACTTCCTGTGGGTCGCACTGCACGACGAGTCGTATGGACTTGGGCACCCGTTCTCTGCAAACCCGAACGGCGGAAAAGGCGGTGTGGGCGAGGGCCGTGATCTTGTCTGGCGCAGCCGCGCGGACAATCCAGTCAACAAATGGTACTTTGAACGCAGCTCCGGCCATCTCAGAATGGGCCCCTGGGTCATGTTCTGGTGTGACGCCGAGAAACGTCTCAAGCAAGAGCAAGCCAAGAAGCTGACAGGCGGCGTCTCCTTTGTTGAGCAAGGGGAACAGGGTAGACTGAGTCAGTGGGCAGACGCTGTTCAAAAAATTCCATCGAGCTGGCTGCCTATACAATAGGCCTTTCATAGATTATTCACTCATCCAATGTATGTATGTATTGTATACTTATCCAGGTTAGATGCTCACGACTGGTCACATCATGTGGTAGTTGTCACGTTACTCGTTATGACGTGAAGCGTTCCTCCTTTACCTCACTCGACTCTTGAAACCACCACAATGCCGAGACGGAAAGCAGACAGCTTGAATCCCGTCTTCGAGCGCATTCTACAGGAGCTAAGAGATGAGAAGGATCCAGGTTCGGTCGGCGCGGTTGAACTCGGCATGTGCCCCTCATCCCCTTTCCAGACGAGGGACACCAATGGGCAATCTACAACAGGGCCCTCAAAGGACTCCAAGCGGCTGAAACTGTATTTTCTGACCCCCAGGAGCTCATATCCGTCAAGGGCATCGGTCCTGGGATCGTCAAAGCCGTGGCCAAGCGCCTCCGAGGCGACGAGGACGCCCCGCAGCGCACTTCAGCCGCGGCTTCCAAAGTCCCTGCCCGCCCGTTAAAGCGATCTGTCACAGATCTTGGGGTCGAAACAGGTGCTCCAGTAACCAAGCGGCGGACCGCCAGCGTGCCTGAGCTTCCTCGAGTCGCCGACTCAACGGTGCATGACGAAGATCCTAAGAGTTTCAAGTTTTGGTATCTGGGTATAAATCTTACTGCGTCTTTTCTCAGAATCCGCGTTCATCATGCACACATGCGCAGATAGCAAAGAAAACCCTGTTCGAGAGAGCATGCAAGCCGAGACAACCTTCGACGCACATTCACAATTATGGATGAAGGTTATGTACCCTCCTACAATGGAGCGACATCCACTGGCTACTCATCTGATTGTGGTCGTGCGCCGTGATGACGGCATCGTTGCTCAAATGCCGGAGCTGCTCGCTGAAGGGCTGCGCTCATGCCCCGGCTTTTCAATCCAGCCCAAGCCAACTTCGAAGGCAATCAAACACGGTTCATCCAAGTTGCTCAAGGCTCTCGCAGCTGAAACACAAAAACCTCGCAACACCATCGATCCGTCGAGGCAACTTCCTACTTATATGCAGACAACTAACAGGGGGGAGTCAAGTTCGCAAGTCATTCCACCAACCCAGAAGGCTGCAGCAAAGCGCGTGAATCATCAAGCACAGGCCCTAGTGCCTGCTAAACCATCTCGGTCTCTTTCTCGTGCCGCGACCGCGACCACTGCACCAGAAAGAGCAGTTCCGCCGATTCAACGAACGAAATCCGCACCTGCCGTCGGGAATCCGACCTCGCGACCGAGACTGTCTCACGCTACCCCAAACTTGCCTCCCGTCGAGCATTCTATCTACACGGCGCAGACAGACTTCCCTGACTTTTCTCCTGATATCATGCGGGCGGGGGACTATGACATCACGCTGGTCTTGGACCACCGGGAAAGGGGCGCCCATCAAGACCGTGATGCCATGCGCAATCGTTTGCGGAGGAATGGGCTCGCCGTTGAGACCGAGTCTCTGGAACTCGGCGACGTTATCTGGATCGCTACGAGCAAAAGCGGTGGCCACTCTTGTGTCCTTGATTTTGTTCTCGAACGCAAGCGGCTCGATGATCTAGTGGGCTCGATTAAAGACGGGCGCTTTCACGAGCAAAAGGTTTGTGACGTCGTCATTTCATTGCGCTTTCAATGTTTATCGTCTTGTCCCAGTTCCGCCTGCACCAAAGCGGGGTATCCCGCGTTCTTTACCTTGTTGAGGAATACAATGCGGTACACCAGAGGGAAAACTGGGGGGTTCAGATCAACACAGCGTTATCGTCGACTCAAGTGGTCGATGGCTTTCTCGTGAAGGAGACCAAGAGCCATGACGATACTATTGAATACCTCACTGGGCTGACCGAGCAGCTGATTCGTGCCCACCAGGTCCGTAGGGCAACTGGATCTGGGCAGTGATTGACCGCCGTCTAGATGAAGGATCTGCATGTCATTCCGTCGTACATGATCAAACGGCATTCCTATCTGGAGCTCAGGAGATATCTGGGACACAAGCACCCCGACCGGACTTACGTGACCTCGCTCAGAGACTTTCAGACACTCAACTCCAAGTCTGGGTTCACGACTGTGCGGGATACATGGGCCAGGATGCTGTTGTGTGTTAAAGGTATGAGTGCAGAGAAGGTGGGGGCGGTGATTGAGCGATGGCCCACCCCTCGGCTGTTTTGGGAAGCCCTGAAGGAAGCGGAGCAGGTCGAGGCTCTGGAGCGACGCGAAGAGGCCTTGGCCGGGGGCCCCTCCAAGGGGCGCAACAAGAGAAAGATCACCGAGGCGAATCAGATGCTGAAAGGCGTTGGCGGTGCGGAGGGTGGGGTTCGTGCTATCGGATCTGCGTTGAGCAAGAAGCTCTATGAAGTATTCATGTCGGAAGTGTACTCCGAAGACATCTAGCGGCTCATTTGAGTCGTCCATCGTGATTGTATATCTGAGTCTTACCTAGTTACTTGCAGTATATTGGCTTGTATCGTATGGACATAATCTAATCGCATCTAATCGAACAGCTCGTTCCTGCATAATGATCACTGCCGATTGACAACCTTGGCACCTGGCCATGCGACCGAAGATCGTCCGTTGGCACCGCGACACGAGCTGACACGAGCGAGGTGTCACACGGCTCAGCCTGTGTGGCTGTGTAGAGACCGTTATAAAAACAAATGGCGGGGACATGACGGCTCCAGCTTTGCCTCCTCATTCTTCCTCCAGGACCGGTTCCTCTCAGCCTTTTCGTGCCTTTGCTACCCACCTTCTTTCGCGTCTCACATACACATTCCTTCGTGCCGCAAAATGCTCTTCCAGTCTACCGTCCTTGCGCTCTTCGTGTCCGCCACCTTGGCTCGTGAGTGATCACGCGGATGGACATGCGGTTTGGCTGACACGGCGCGCGCAGGCCCTGTTTACTATCCCCGGGCTAACCCGCAGGCGTGCTTCATCACCGGTGCGTTCGTTCGCGTCGCGATCTTCAAGCCCCTGATTATCCATCCATCGGGGCGCAGGATCCACCGCGCTGCCGGCGGAAGTGGCCACCGGTGTCCCCGCGTTGGCGAAAGCCGTCACATGCAACACCAAGGTATGCCGAAATCCGAGGTTCCCCGCTGCGGCTGCAATTTGGTTCTGACCGGATGCCGACAGACGCAGATCGTGCCTGGCGTGCCGGATGTCACCTCGGGTGGGATCGCCTTGAGCACGATTGATTTCCAGAAGTCGTCGAAATCGCCCCTGGGCTTTGCGCTGTGCGTGGCTCATACACCTTTCCCCCGGGTCTTGACTGACTGCTTCGATCAGGGCGACGTTCACGACGCCGACCAACCCGGCCCAGGCTGATGTCGCGACCCTCCAGAATCAGCTGAACGACTACCTGGCCTTGGAGGCGGGCATTCGCGTAGGTTCCCCGTCAGATTACGAAATGCACAGGCGGCTCACGTATCGCCTTACAGTCGCAGCCCTCGAACAATGCGAACAAGGTCCTCCTCGAGAAGATCAAGGGCCCCAAGTTCTTCCTGCAGTTCCAGGTCCGTCCGAGACTTCCTGCAACGTAGGATTCAGACTGACCATTTGCCGCAGATGGCTCGTGTCAACGCTGCCAATGGAGTCAAGGTGTCTGCCGCCGGCACCGTTGCCCACCAGCAGGCCAAGGTCATCAAGGCAAGTCGTATGAAATTAACCTTTCGGATGTGGACTGACCTATTGATCAGAACGCCGCGGGTGCCTCTGCGCAGGAGATCGCTCAGGTCAACGCTCTGGCCAAACAAACGTAGACGCTTGTAGATTTGTGCAGCACTCTCAGGTTGTTATGCGAGCAATAAAATTAAGTTGTGACAGGCCAACGGCTACTAAGTATCGAATAAATCAGTCCAAAATAGTGCAAATCAAACCCCGAAACGGCCATATCTCAGTCTAAAAAACCGCAAATGAGCTAAATCTCAGGCTGAAATAGTGCAAATCGCGGGCGCAGACAGCAACTTTTTGTGCAGTTGCCCTCGTCCTTTAGTGCCAGATGGGAGTCAAAAGTAGGCCTCGGAGAAGACGAAACTGGGCAGAACTGGGCTCAAATTACTACAAAAAGCTCCAAATTTATCCAAATTTAGGTGGACCTTGGTCCGATATAGTATACAAATCAACGCTCAGAACAGCTGATTTGGTAGTGCAGTTCAGCCTCCTGGGGCCCACTGACCGTAGCAGAGGGCCTGTTGTTACCCAGATTTTAGAAAAATCTGTCCATCAGGTTTCTAGATGCCTCCACGCCAAGCTGTGCGGAGTTGATTTTATTAGTAGGTGCGCACGCGTGGGAATCGGGATGCAAAGACTGACGAAGGTGGCTGCATTTGCGGGGAAGGCCTGCGAAAATGAATCATCAGTAAAAGGCGGAAGATCGGGCCGGACCGACGACGGCGACGATGACTTACCCTGCCCATGGCCGGACCGAAGCCCTTCCACAGCGCCTTCACTCCGTCCTGCGCGATGGTCTTCCGCGCGCAATCCATCATCCCCGAGTATGTTCCGGTCGGTGCGGACTGCAGCCGCGACTTGAGGACCTACTGGCCGTCAGACTACCTCGATCATGCCTGGTGCGTGGACGCGTACATCGGGAGGGATGGCCAGCGCCCACATGGCTACTCCGGCCGTGCCACCGGCGATGATGATGGCGCCCAGGTTGAGCTCAGAGGATGATGCGCCTGCAGGTGTGAGAAGCCCCTTCGTAACCTCATACGCAGCAAAGTAGCTAGCAGCAGTTCGTCGGCGTAAGTTAGGTGGTAAGGTTGTTTTGTTTGTTGTCCACGTACGCAGCACTTCCAGGGCCATCACGGGCCAGAGTGGCACCCGATCCTCTGAAGATACTCTTCAATCCTCCTCTTTGTACAAATGCCTCATGACATCGAACACGCCCTTGTACTTGTGCTCTGAGCCTCCTTCCTTGGACCTAGGACTGGATGTCAACAAACGACGCCCGGGGAAGTAGGTAGACGAAGCTCGCCTGGAGCAGCACTTTCGCGCGCTCGACGGGCGCCGTGACGAGTGTGGTCGGGACGGCAGACATGAATCCTGCGGTGGCCAGCTCAGCGGTGGACAGTTTGTCCGACTTGCGGTCTGGCGTTGCCGAGAGGATGATCTGCTTGGAAGCGTCGTATGCCTGTGTCCGATCGACGTTAGAGCGGGGAGGACGTGCAGAGCGGCGGGCAGACCCAGAAGGACATCGCGAAAATTGGCGTGACACCGAGCAGGGGAGGCACCATGCCTCGATACATGCTGGCGTCCATAGCAATGAGATGGCGAAGCATAAGGGTCAGACAGAGCGAGAGCCACGGACCCAGTGAGCCCATCCTTGGCCACTGTCTTCTTCACTACGTCGATAGCACCGGTATATGTTCCGGCGGATGCGGTTTGTAAACGCGTCTTGGTGAGATCGAAAGGATGTCCTACACAGGTACTGCGGTCAGAATGGAATACCCGGATATGTAAAACGCGCGACAGACCGACAAGGACAGCAGAAACACCTCCGAAACCGCCAGCGATGAAGGACTTGACTGAGTCAACAGCCGACGTTGTTGTTTCTTCGATAGAGGGCGCGTCAGACTGAAAAGCAATCAGAGGGGGGATATATGGGTGTGGTGGACTGGCAGACCATAGCGTTTAGGATAGAGTGCCTCGGAAGTCGGTTCAACGCCTCAAGAAGTGAGGCCGGCTTTTGATCGCATGTGATTGATCGACCCCGCCCCGTCGCGTGTGTGATATCATAAGTACCGCCCCGGTAGAAATACAGAGATTACGTGCATAAGTACATAGTTATCTAGCCTACATATTATTACGAGTCGCCATCATTTCCAAATCCGCCAACAGGTTCGTATGTGGCCTGTGTGAAGTCTCTCCTCCAGAAAACGCGGACGCCGTAGAAGAAGAGCAGGATGGCGATGATGCCGGAGACGCCGACGAAAGCGGGCCCCCGTACTCGACCCACCACGGCGGGTTGTACGGCACAATCAGGCGGTCGACGAGAATGACACCGCCGACTCCCCCGCCAGTGGTCGATCGGCCCCAGGACAGGACCTTGGCCGAATCATCGTCGCCCTTGGTCCCCCTCGCTCCTTTGATACCGACAACATAACCCCCCGCGTCGGTTTCCTTGAAAACGATGTCGCCGTAGGCAGAGGCTCCAGAGCGGAGCGTGCTATACGACGCAGAGTCCTCCATGACCAGCGGCCGGTTGTTGTTCACCACCATCGCGGACGCCGCACCCGGGGTGGGAATCACGTGCTGGCGCACCAGCTCACGGATCCCGTGCACGTCGTTGTAGAGCTGCGACAGGTTGTAGCTGCTGAACGCATCGTCCGAAGGACACAGGATCGTAAAGCCGGCGGCGGAACCCAGCTCATCGGCCCATTCTGGCGGAGGTGGAGATCCGTCCATGAGCCAATCCATGCCAGCTTTGCTGATAACTGTGGCCATGGCTGTGGCATCAGCTGCTTTTATCAGCTTTCCCACAGTGAGCTCGACGGAGCGGGGGATGAGGATGTCCGACACCTGGTGCACTACTCCAGTCTGGGTGATGATGTCACTGGGATACAATTGGGCCTTGATTCCGCTCCAGCCGCCACTAGCGTGGATGAAGGTCTCGTTCGCAACACGCTCCAGCTGGATGTCGGATCCTTCCAGCGTGGCAAATGTGTGCGAGCCGTTCCTTAGCGACTTGGCATATTCTACACTATCCAGCGTGTGGTGCAGCAAAACACTGGCCAGGTCCTTCTTCGACGACGGTGCCAGCAGATGCGCAGCCACGAGATCGCCCAATCGCTTGAAAGCCGAGTTGTGCGGGACCAAGAGCGAAGTTCGGGCGGTCGTCTTCAAAATCTCTGCGACTGCGGCCGAAAAAGCCGAAGCTACAAACAAGGAGAGATCCTGAAGAGGCAAGAGCGCCTCCAGCGCATCTGATGGGCGGACCAGTGGACGCGAAACGAAGTATATCAGCGTGTTGTTCAAGGGAACTAGGAACTAAGTTTGAGTACATCCCGAGCGCTGGAAATAGATACTCACCCGGCTCTCCAAGGACGCCGACACCTCCAAATTTGATCGACCGCTCATCCTTCTTCTTGTCGGACGACGAAACCCCAATGCTGAGAACTTGTGGGCCCCCATCGAGCCCCTCTTCGGCCAAAGCGGTTTCCAAGAGCATTCCATCATGCAAGTCCTTCGGCTGCCATTTGCCAGGAAGGAAATGGTATTGCAACAGCTTCTTTAGCTCTTCGGATCCCCGTTCTGGAATGTCCTCGTTGCCGAAAAGCGCGAAAACTTCGTCTCGAGGGGCCAAGATGGTGTATTTGGCATTCGTGTCATTCACGAGCCCCGTGAGATTGACAGAGTGGAGGAGAGACACAAAGGATGTGCAGTTGAGCGCAAGCAGCGATTTCTCGGGAGTGATCTCCAAGTCCACTAGTAGATCAGACACGAGATGCAAGACTCCATTCGAGGCGTAGATGTCCGGCTGAATTAGTTCTGATCCCGAGACCCTAGTCGCTTCTGGCGTCACGACTATATCCAGAACGCCTCCACCAATAGTCTTCACTGACAAAGAAATTAGAACTCTGACCAGATCCAGGGCAACCAATCTCACACTGTGTGGAGGGCTCAAAGGTATCCGACCATTTAACCGTCTTTCGGACGACGGCGTGCGCATTCAGAATGCGCACCAGATCGGCTGTGGCAAATTCGCTCTCGAGGTACAACCGTTCCAGAGCGTGTAGGGATTGGAACGCAGTATCCACGGGAAGGAAAAGTGTGAGTTCCGACGTCGAATTAAGAATTGCAGCGATCTCGGGCGTAATGATCTTGTGGAAGTAGGACACCGAGGATTGTTCGGCAACGAGGTGTGCGAGGTCGGGTGGGGGCACGAGGACGTCGTTGATGCCGAGAAGTATCCCATTCCCTGCGTCAATCTTCCCCTTTACTATCTCCACTCCACCCTTACCAAAAGCATCTACTCCAACCCAGGCGCCTTGATCCCGAACGGCCACTCGCAGTCGCTGAGGTTCTGATCCCAATGATCCGCCTGGTACCGGCATCCATGGGGGATTTGGCGAGGGGTCCTTTGAGGGTGGCTCTAGAGGAGAGTGCGGATAGTGGAGGGTCTTTAAGACTTGAGGAGGGTTGGGGAGGTCCGGAACAGCAGGGACGGTATAATTTATGATATGGTAGAAAAGCTGCTGTCTAAGCTTCTCCTGGATATTATCGGTCATGATGAAGGCGTCATCGTGAGCAGCTGCATTCCAAAGATCGTCCTTGTGGATGGCGTCGTTCGTGGGTGCGAAAAACGTGCTCCCGTTGAGACGATTCAGCGTCGGGATCAAACGCGCGCGTTGGAGTAAGCGAAGTAAAGAAGTGTAGTCAGGATCAGCATTGAGGGCGTCAACTAGGGTAGGAGAGAAGATAGATATTTGAGAGGGAACGACAGGCGTAGCCAGCAGTAGCAAGGGCCACAACATGGTGGTTTGAGTTCGGTTGAGTAAAGCGCAGCGTGTGCAGAGATGACGTCCACCTCCTATCATCATCACATCCCGTTTAGGTGAGCCTGTCAACGACGGACCTTGCCCTATGCAGCCTTGATGCTCTCGTTGGTCTCGCTCCTCCAGTCGCCGCAACACGCTTTTCAGACTTTCCAACTCCCGAACTCTACTCTTCTGGTCCGCAACAGCGTTTCGATCACCCACCCCACCCCTCATATCTTTTAGCTACACGCGTCGGCTGATGGCATTGTTATCCGCGATGCACTGTCTCTCGCCGTCGTACGCGTGCTTGCGTTTTGGGAGGCGTTCCCTGGATCAAGTGGCCAAGTGTCTTGCCTTTCCGTCGACTCCGGCATGAAACTCGTGCGTCAATCTGTTACCGAACGTCGCGTCCTCGACCTACGCCAGTAGATTGCCGCCTCGATGGGATCCCGAATAGCGGCGTGGTCCCTCTCGGGCGTCGATCAGAATGCATGGCGGCTTCATTCGACTTTGGTGTTTCCTGTGGGTCATGAAGTCACATCCATGGACAGCAAATCCGGTACATGAACACTAGGTGCTGTAAACGGCTTGCTGATCGCTTCAGGTTTGCTTGCTGTGGGCAGCACATACGGCTTGTCTGTATACACATTGATACTTGAAAACGATCTACCAACATGGTCTCAAAAATGGATTATTTCGTACGTGAACGTTCTCAACTCCAGTGCAATCTAACTCTGAAAGCACTTTCAGTACCGGAACCCCTACGATGACACGCTTTGCCCCATCGCTTATGTATATTGCGGCAACCGCCGAGGTGAGTCTTTTTTGCTAGTTGCGCAGGCAATCCGAGGGATCTCCACATACAGGACAACCAATCTCTTCGGATCTATTCTACAACATCTGGGCGCTTAACACAAAATATCTCCCATCCACGGCCTATTACCGACTTCTCTTGGAGGCAGCCTGAAGCATCTAGCCGGTATGTTGCTCTCGAGGCACAAAGCACGCGGCGTTTATGAAGCATCAGGGATGATCTAATACTCTACACTATTACAACGGACTCGACACTGCGCATATTCCTACCGGTCCTGGACTCACCCGAACATCTGCAATTGCATGCATCACTAGATCTCTTCTCCTCGATACCATTCAGCATAACAGGCAAGATGCCCGCCAGTTCCAGCATCTTCTGGTTGGACAGGCAGATGGTCGACAGATGTCTTTCTGTAGCATCAGACGAGAGCAATGCGCAGGAAAACCCGCGTATTCGACGGATGAAAGAAATCAAGGATGAGGGCTGGGATCTATTTCTTCGAATTGTGGATGACGGTTCGGCCGTGATCACTGCAGTAGCGGCAAGTCTTTCCTCACCGCCACCAGGGCTTGACTTAAAGTTTCCAGAACATAGACCGGCGACCGCCAACGCTCTTAAAGCAACTGGTCGTCCAGCAAACTCCCCGGGGACGTTTCCTTCTGCCCCGAAACACCTACATCTGCTACCAGGGACAAAACCAGACTCGCTGACGCTTGTGACGTTATCACCGTTGCGGACGTACCAATTCTCACCATCGTCCTTCTTCGATGCTGATCCAGAAGGCTTGCTCTCTCTCTCTGCGGCGCCAGAATGGCGCAATGCAGAGGAATCGCGAATTCTTCGGTTTGTGCGAACTCCGGATGGAAGCGGTGTTGGCGTCATCCGCGAGACTGGTGGCGAAGCTTGGAATCTAGGGCAAAACCACGGACTGCAACGGGCGGTTCAGTGGGGAGCAGCTGATCAGGTCGTGGTTCTGGACGGTGGTACGTGCCAATCTTCTCCTACCCGTATGCAGCTAACAGTTTTCATCCAGGTCGGAGCTATGCGACATACGACAGCGCGCGAGAAGAACTCCGACTGAGCACCATCCCCAGAGTGCCCTCTCGCTGCCCGAAATCACCTCCCTGTTTTCTCTTCCGTCAGATAGCGGTTCTGAGGCCATATTCGGGATTACCCAGGACTTCTCCGTTATCCAGGTCAACGTCGAGGCTGCTGGTCTCGTACTAGAGGCTCATAGCACGCTGCCGATGTCGACACCGAAGATGATCCTACCCGTCGATCCAATGGCTTGGAACAAACTAGGCAGCTGGGCCGCGCGTGACATCTTTTGAGTGTGTCTGATTCGGGTGAGCTGGCCTTCTGGACCAGGACGAGAAATGAGTGGCGATGCACTGGGAGTGTCAAAACCAACAAGACAGGGATCACAAAAGCAAGATGCAGTTCAGTAAAGAAGACAGCGCTTGGTACCAGCTTCTACACTCACTGCTATCGTACAGTCTAATGTTCATTTAGTTGTCTCGACACCAGGAGATGAACTCACCATCTGGGACTCCAAAGAGTCGGAGTTTGCAACTGGTCTGGAATACCACTGTGTCTACAAGTGTGTCAGTCTCGACTGAATGAGATGCATATCTAACTCCTTCTCAGAGAGTCCATTAACGATCTAGATTGGAGCTCGACTCCCGATGCGCAATCCATCTTGGCTGTGGGATTTCTGCATCGCGTGGAACTCCTCTGCCAGCAGCGGTCGACCTATTTCGATCAGGCGATCGGCTGGCTGAAGTGTTGGACGATCGACATTGGCTCGTGAGCAAAAGCTGTCTTCTTAACCCAGAGATCGCTTCACTAAACCTTGGTAAACGCAGCTTTATTCCGTATCAGATCAGCGATTCGATCTGGCTGGCCAACGGATCGCTGCTGGTCGGTGCTGGGCATCAAATGTTCTTGTTTGGCCAACGCCAAATCGGAGAGGAAGGCCTGTTCGAGTACGTTGCTCGTCGGAACGGGCCACTGGAAGACTACCATCCTCAGATGCTGCTTCAGTGTTTAATTTGGGGTGCGTGATCAGATTGTCACTTGTGCGAGAGTTCTCATTAGGTACCAGACAAGGTCGAACTGGTCAAAGACATCATTTTCAACCTTGCACAGGACCTCGAAGGGTCGACGGATGAGAACACTCGACAGTCGGTGCCGATCGAGCGCTTTCTTAGAAAAGAGGCTAAAAACGCTCCAAACGGTGCCCATAAGAAACAGTACACATTTCTTTTCAACGGCCCGGAACCGAAGGATGAGTGCGTATTTTCCACCTTATCTCTCACTTGATCTCATCTATCACAGGGAAGAAGACGGTTTCAATCGCACTCTTGTCGACCGTTTGATGAAGGCTCTGGAGAAAAAACCTCTTCAACATCTTACGCGGAATGAAAATGCGCATCTGCTCGGACTTATCCAAACTACGCTTGAAGTAAGTCGTGGCGGCGTTGAATGAATGAACTATCCTCACGCAGCATAGATCGACGAGCAGCGGAGGGCACTGGACTCCAACGGTCTGCGATATCTCATCTCGATGCGGTCATTCTACATCTTGAATGAACGGACACTGCCGACTCTCTCGGATCGCTTGCGCCCCGAAAGCGATTGCGATACCGCGACATGGTTTGGGCTTTCTTCAGCGAGAGCCAAGATCTGCTGTTGTCAGCATCGGCTGCCGCATGCAACAACAAGATGTGCTGGGCTGACGCCAGAGCCCTCGGAGTCGCTTTGTGGTTGAATTCCGTCGAAAATCTGGTGAGCGCGATCACTACATGCAGCACGATCGTGTTCGCTCACCTTCGCTACAGAGATCGCAGATGGAGATTGTCGCCAGGAATGAGTTCATGGCTGGTGACAACAGAGATCCGGTCGCTTGTTCGCTGTTCTACTTTGCGCTTGGAAAAGTGAAGTTGGTGCACGGTCTCTGGAGACAATCCGCCTGGCATAAAGAACAAGGGGCTATGCTCAAGTTTCTGTCAAACGACTTCACAGAGCCCCGGTGGCGCACTGCGGCTTTGAAGAATGCTTTTGCTCTGCTCGGGAAACAGCGCTTCGGTGAGTCCTGCCGTCGGAGGTGTCTGTCAGAATGTTTGTGCTGATTCAAACGATGATACAGAATATGCTGCCGCATTCTTCCTTCTCGGTGGTGCACTTCAAGATGCGATCAATGTCTGCCTAAAGCATCTGCGTGACTTCCAGCTGGCGGTGGCGCTGGCCAGGATTGTCGAGCAGAGCAACGAGGGTCCCGTGCTGCACAAGATCCTCGAGGAGACCGTCATTCCCACAGCGTTCCAGGAAGGGAATCGATGGCTGGCCTGCTGGGGCTTCTGGCTTCTCCACCGCCGGGACCTGGCTGTGCGCATCCTCCTCACTCCCTTGCACGACATCGCCGAGTCTCTTGACATTAAAGACATCGGGCAGGCCAATTATGACGATCCGAGCCTGGCTTTGTTGTTTTCGCAGTTGCGCTCGAAGACGCTCCAAGCCGCATCTGGAACGAGCCAGATTTCCGGACGGGTCGAATTCAACTTTGTTCTGCAGATGGCCCGGGTGTTCTGCCGTATGGGTATGTAGATCAATGCCGGCTATGGGTTACGGACCTGACTGATCGTCTGTAGGCTGTCCAGCACTCGCACTGGATCTCGTCCGGTCGTGGCAATTCGACCGTCCGTCCATCGAGAAGAACCGACCGATTGCGAGACGTCCTACATTTGCACTTGGTCCCAGCCAACGCCGCCGGTCATCGATTGTGATCGACATGGAGATCCCGTCTTGCCAGGGACCCGGCCCGGCTCTCCCGTGAGACCAACACTGATGTCCTCAGTCATCGTCGAGGAGCCGAGCAACGACAAGGAGGACCTCACTGCGAAAAAAGCGGGGCTGGGGAAGCTTATGAAATCCGCAAAACAGAATGTGACTGTGCCGGAGTTCAATATGGATGCGTTTTTCTGAGTTGGAGAGTGTAAAAAAGTACAAGAGAAATGCTGTATTCCAAAAACGACTGGCAGTGCTGAGAGGAGCACCTGCTTATTACTCCTGTACCTCGGCTTCACGCTTCTTCAACACCAGGTCGGATCCCATGACACGCTTCCACACATCTTTGACGTCGTCCACAACGGTCTCGAAGTGCGACGTAGCATCGTAAGAGCGAGTCACAAAGATGTTGTCCGCTTCGCCGGAGGTGGTCGGCGTGTAAAGAGGCGAGACGGTGATAAATCTGCTCAACATCAAGATCTCGGTCAACAGATACTAGAACGTGACGCACTGTTCAGAAATGGGTCCGAGCAGGTTCAAGCCCGGGATGATCTCCGTGTGTGGGTTGTCCGTCTCCACGATCGTCGACACAATGGCGATGTACACATCCTTCGCGCAGACGTTGTGGGTGGCAGAAACACAGGCGACGTAGATATCTGCTATAAGTCAGTCGCCGTCTCCACTTCCTGTGATCTTAAACGCACCGTTCCTCCGGTTCACTTGGTTCTGGGGGATGATGATCTGCATGCTGTCGCTGTCCTCCGTGTTCGGGATGGGGTGCCTCAGGAGGCAGATGGCCCGGACAACACGGCCATTCTCGACAACGCGCACTTTGCCGTCCGGCGATTCTCCGCCCGCGCCGAAGTAGCTGGGGTCGCCGATGACCTGCTTCGCCTTGACAGTTTCGCCGTCGCTCGTGACGCCGACGAATTTGCCGTCGGCATCGGTGACGATCTTCTGGATCGGCTTGTCGAGCATGTACGTGCCACCGTAGATGGCGCTCAGACGGGCGAACGATTGCGGGAGCTCCCCGAGACCGTAGAGGGGGTAGATGTAGGGGGATTTGCCGTAGCGCGCCATAGAGGAGGTGTAGAGAACGATCCGATCGTACGTAGGCCGAGCGGGTTTGGTAATGTAACTTGGGACAGGTCAGCGACAGCCGTGGAGCCACTGATCGTAGCCACGTACTCGTCATCGAGGTAGAGCGCCATGGCATGGCCGATGAAATCCTGAGTACCGGGCTCGAGACCGAACTTCTCGTAGACGGTCCTCATGTTGTCCTTGTCCAGATCGATACCTATGGGTTGGGGCGACGATCAGTAATCAGTAGCGGCGCTGAAACGTGTATTGAGACACACCTTGATGAGTCGCAGGGTCATCGTCCTTCCAGCCCTGCAAAAACTCAAAGAACTTCTTGGCCCGGCGCTTCTCGAAGAGACCCATGAGGGGGCTCTTGACCGCCTCCATTTCCGTGCTGGGCACCTTGGAGATCTTGCCATCGCGATAAACGAAGCTGCCCGCGATCTGCTTGAACTCGAGGTAGCGCGTGACGTCGGTGTGCACGAGGATGCGAGTGAGCTCGCCCGAGGCAATGATGAACTTGGGGACCAGATCGACAGCGTAGTCGCGGTCACGACCGAGGTCGGTCGGAACTGCCTGATCAGGGCGGAACTTGTTGTATAGCTAGAAGCCTCATGAGGAGGACGATAAGGGGAGAAGGTCAGGTCGCACCTGAGTCAGGTTCAGACTCGCGCTGTCACCGCCATAGTAGTTGTTGCGGTCCATGTGGAGGACCTTTTTGCCCTCGACGGACAAGAGGCCTGATAGGATACATTCGGTAAGGCCAGTGCCAAGAACGATGACCTAGAAGGGCATTGGGATGATGGTATTCTGAGTAGAGTCTCCTCACATCGTATTCCTCATCCATGGTGGTGGTTCGATGCAAGGTGTGTTTGGCGAACGAGACTTGACCCAGTAGTAACCGACCCACGTGGATCAGTCGACTATTACAAAATAAGATAGGGGCTAAATTGTAGTTTACATTGCATGTGTCCTTCGTCGTTGTGCTGCTCAAAATTCTCGGTCTTCGGGTATCAGCAAGTCTTCCTCCACGCTAAATTTACGTTTGGCTCGTGGCGGACCTGAGCTCAGTTCAACTGATCGAGACCATGTCCTCGACGGCGGTGACGTTTGCTCCACAGTGAACTCTGTGACCGAATCTTTTTGGCAATTTTATCGATTTCTGGACGAGGACCTCAGTAGCGCGACAAAGAGTGGATGCAAAGCTTACGTTTCGAATTTCGCTTGTAGTATTCACTGCGCTGGTCAGAAACTGCCGAAGGTCTTCACTACCGCACACTCACTTCCAAGAGTTCATTGTTCTCTGAGGATACAAGGGTGCAAACTTTCTCCATCGCTCTGTGTATCCGACCTGAAAATGCTCAGGATGACTTTTCTCAAGATATTGTCGCATACCTCTAGGAAATCGGGGAATGTCGCCACGTGTCTGGCCACCACAGCCATGTCAGCTGGACGAGAAGGGCTAAATGAACCGCGCGACAAGAGCAGACTGGAGCTCACCTTGGGTGTATGAGCCCCCTTTTGGCCCCATTTGACTTATATCCGCCGCTGGAATATCTACGTCCTCGTCGTCAGATTCCTCGTCCACCTCTTCCTCTTCATTCTCAGATTCAGTGAGCTCTGACCCTGAATCGGGTTCTTCATATTTGCGTCGACGCCGAGATGATCCGCCTTCATTACTGCTCTCAGATTCTTCTTCCTCGGCTTTCAATTCAGCCTCCTCCGCCTGCCGACGATGGGATGCTAGAATCTTGTCCGGTAGATCATGATGGCCGGACCAATACGAGGCCCATGACTGATAACTGTGATGTGGTGCCTAACTCGGTTCGTCAAGTCATGGCACTCGCCCCCAGTCAAGTGCTATGCACCCACCTTCTCCGCTAACAGCTCGCACAGTTCGAGTCTGGTCAGGGTCGGGTCATCTTTCAGGCGCCACCCGATGAAGTTGATGAAGAATTTGCGATCCGATAACGTGAATTTGTGGCCCCCCCGTGCATGAGGCTGGAAACATCAAATGAATGTGCAAGCCGAGCCTGAATCAACTGACGCGACGTACAATGAGTTCTGTGGGCGGCGTCGGTGAGCGCGACGGAGGTTCGGGGATTCTCAACTCGGTATTAGGAGGCGGTAGACGAGGATTGAATTCCGCGACATGCACTGTCATGCTGTTGATCGTGCTGCGTCCTCTGGGCGCAGGTTTCGTCGCCTGTTGAGAAGACTCCGAGGATCGTCGTGTTCTTTCGTTCGGTTTTCTGCGTTTGTTCACTCTGGACGAGGACGATGATGCGACAGGAGAAGATGAGCGGAAGGCAGACGAAGCCTGAGGTGAGGGTTCCGTCTTGAATGTCGCGATAGAAGGCTTCTTGATCGTCTTCTTGGGCGGCCCATAAGCTTGGATGGCAAGGTCTAGTCGGTCCTTGATTTCAGAGACTGTTTCGGTAAGAGCAAAAAGTTGACAGGATGAGGGATCAAACCTTGTTGTCCAAGTAGTAATCTTTCCAGAGTGTTGCCGAATGTCCTCCGGTCTGGAGAACACCAGGTGAGTACTACGCATGTTAAACACGCGTCAAAGAGACACACCCCATGAAGCCCATTCAGCGCGTCCTTATACGTGACTCCCCTACTCCGAGTCTCGGCCAAGGTCTTCACAAGCACAGGTTCATCTGCGGGCTCGACAGGATATGATAAGGCCAACGCGTCGTGGAAGACTTGCTGCGAGAAGAACGCGGGCATGCCGCCTAGATTGTTGGGATATGTTTGCTGAGGGGGGAGTGCATTCATCCATGCCGGGTTGACCGCTTGCACGCCTTCCTGGTCTACCACTCCCAGTGTTGGTTCGTTGCTGAACCCAGCAGGACTGGGAGATGTCCCGGACCGTCCGTCCTGCAAGAATCCATTGTAGTTAGAGCTCGACGGAGATGTCATGTCATTTCCAAAGTCATCCGTGCTGTTTGGTGGGTGATTGGAGGAGCCTGCGTAGCCATTCATGGTAGTCCGAGGCCAGGTCTGAAAATCCCTATCCCAAAGTGGTCAGCCACGTGATACCTGTCAATCATGATCTTGACCCCGCTTTCGCTGTGTGAAGTGATCGGGCCGGATCCGGGGCAACCTTACCACCAACCATGCCTTCTATCCGCCGTTTTACCACTTGCGTTCCTCGACGAGCTCTCGGCGACCTCGCAAAGTCTGCAGTAACACAACTTTCCGAATGGCAGGGTACCTCCGTTGAGGGTGGGACCACGAAGAACTTCATCGGTGGTCAATTCGTCGAAAGCAATACGAATGAGTGGATCGACGTGCTTGACCCCGTGAGATATCATCATCCAAACCCTTGGGTGCTTGTCTGACCATTGTCTCGATGAAAGTCTACGCAAACACTGCTCTCACGCGTTCCGCAAACGACCTCAGGCGAGTTCCAGCAGGCTGTCGACGCTGCCTCGGATGCCTTCAAGTCGTGGAGCCGAACGAGTGTCTTGAGACGACAGCGATTCGCTCTCGAGTGAGTGAAATAGTGCATTCAGTGGGGTTCTGCTTCTCTGACTGCGCGTCAGACTCCAGCATTTATTGCGTCAGAACGCGGACGCCATCGCGAATAGCATCGTTCTGGAACAGGGAAAGACATTCGCAGGTACGGTTGGCATTGCTGCGTTGCTTGCATAGCCCAGGCTCTGATCTCGAACGCTTATGAACGGTGTAGATGCCCACGGCGACCTTCTTCGAGGGCTTCAAGTCGTCGAAACGGCGACCGCAATAACTACGACCCTTCTGGGTGAAAAGATGGAGGGTGAGATGTGATGATATCTTCTAAAACTTCCACCGACGCTCTCGCAGTCAGCAAGGATATGGACACGGAAGTTCGAAAGCTTCCGCTCGGAGTCTGTGCAAGCATCGCGCCGTTCAACTTTCCGGCGATGATCCCGCTCTGGTCCATCCCCATGGCCGTTGTAACCGGTTTGCGCTTCTTGTGTGATTTCGTGCGCGTTCTCAATGGTGTCATGCAGGGAACACGCTCATCCTTAAGCCGTCTGAACGTGATCCGGGCGCGGCTATGATCATTGCCGAGCTTTGTCAGCGGGCAGGGCTTCCAGAGGGTGTTCTGAACATCGTCCACGGCGGTGTCCGCACAGTCAACGCACTCTGCGATGATCCTGCCATCAAAGCCATCAGCTTTGTGGGTGGTGATCGTGCTGGCCGCCACATCTACGACAGGCAAGTGACTGAATTGGCTCCTACATCCAGACGCTGATGCTTTATCTATAGAGCGACACAGAATGGCAAGCGCGTTCAGGTACTTGTCCCAGTTTCACCTTTCTCCTGCTTCGCTAAGGGACCAAGGCCAATCTTGGTGCCAAAAACCACGCCATTCTCATGCCCGATGCAAACCGCAATCAGGCCCTCAATTCCATCATTGGTGCTGCATTCGGAGGTACGACTTGCTTCACTTGTATTGACATGAGAAGGATTATTGAGTGAACTGAAGCCGCTGGGCAACGCTGCATGGCGATTTCTGTGGTCCTGCTCGTCGGCGAAGCCCAGTCATGGCTTCCCGAGCTCATTGAACGTTCCAGCAAGTTGAAGGTCAACGGTGGCTTCGAAGCGGGTGCCGATTTGGGGCCTCTGATATCGCCTGCTTCGAAAGCTCGAGTGACTGGTTTGATTGCCTCGGCTGACGAGGAAGGTGGTAAAATCCTTCTCGACGGCCGAAATGTTCAGGTCCCTGGGTACCCTGAGGGGAACTTTGTTGGTGAGCAGAACTTGGCCAGCGTCTCAGTTCATCTTTTTAACATCTACCAGGTCCCACGATCATCAAAGGCGACGTCACCATGAAATGCTATCAGTAAGTTCCAGCGCATTGACTGCTGCAGTTCCTTTGCTGAACCGATCTATCTAGGCAAGAGATATTCGGGCCCGTGTTGACAGTGATCGCAGTCGACACGCTGGACGAAGGCATTGAAATCATCAACAAGAACCGATATGGAAACGGCGCTGCCATCTTCACCCAGTCTGGTGCCACTGCGAGGAAATTCGAGGCACGATAGTTCTCTTTCCCTGTGGTCTTATGTATGTCTAATACCAGCACAGACTGAGGTGAACGTTGGGCAAGTCGGAATCAACGTGCCGATCCCCGTTCGTACGTACCTTTCATGACCGGACAGCTCAACTCGCTGAATCGCAAATAGCACTTCCCATGTTCTCCTGGTCCGGTAACAAGGTTCGTTGTTCGCTTGGGGTTGTGATCGCATCTGAATCCTTCACAGGGCAGCTTCCTGTTCGTTTCTCTTGATATCGGACGTAGGAGCCCGGATCTGACCTTGGTACAGCGGAGATATTCACTTCTACGGGAAGAATGGCATCAATTTCTACACCCAGAACAAGGTTCGTCAGTTCTTGTGCTTGATAAGGAAGCACACTCCATGTATTGCAGACCACAACTTCACTCTGGAACTCGGAGGATGCGTTGGGAACTCGGGCTGCTGTCGACATGCCCACCCATCATTAGTTTGTCTCGCAAAACTCGCTGTCGAATATCCACTGTACCATTTACTACTGCCAATCACGCTTTGTCGTCCACCAACTCATCCAGAAAGGCCTTCGATAATGCCGTGCACTGCTTATAAGTGCTCTCAAAGTCGCTCTGAGTTGGGGTTTAGCCTCCTGGAGAGTCGTTCTCGCTGAAGCCTACCATTCCGCCGTACCAGGGATCTGGGATCGCTTTATCATCTAGATAGGAACCCCAAAGTCTGATATCAGCCGTCGCGTCGGAAGGCTTGACGCGGTTTATGTTGCGCAAGTTGTCGTGGTCCGACGCAAGGATGTGGGTGAACCGGGTAAAGTCTTTTCTGTCATCGCATATGAGCCGTCAAGCAAACGCGAGATTGGCACCGTACTTGTGGAGTTGTCGAGCATGATGATTGATCGGTATCCTATACTGTACATGTTGCAGACAGTTAGTGCTTACGCTTCTGAGCCACGAACGATCTCATACCTTCTTGCAAGTCGCGACGGTTCTAGAGAGTGAATTTCGGACGGTTATCAAGCCTGTGCCGTATCCGTCCTCGTTGATTCACGAACCTCTGGGACAAGTATGGGTACCGAATCCACGACAGCCAACTCAAGTCAACTCACGTCATCTGGGTCCTCGCCAGAATGATATCCGGCCGTCCCGCAGCTGTCGACCTCGATGTCAAGCCCGCGCTCCTTCGCGGCGGCTCGCAGGACGGCTTCGCCCATGGGAGAGCGGCAGATATTGCCCAGACACACGACGAGCACTTTCGCGACGGGTTCTTTGCTGTCTGGCATCCTTAGTGGAGGGGATCAAGTAAGGTGAGCAGCAAGCGGTAATCTGACAGGCCGATCGATTGTCGACGCGTCAATTATCGGTGTCCAAACTAGTCCCCGATAGCTCGACGTTGCCATCTTGTCGACTGCGAACCGCCATGCCTTCGCCACCCATCGAAGTTTGTCCTACCTTGTGCCATCCAAATCCATACTCAACTCAGGTCGAAACAGCTCTTTCTCACTACAATCGCGTCGCAGCCTGTCTTGCGACAACGTCAAGGTCAGTTGAAGAAGTCCACAATCCTGAGTCCTGACGACGCTTGATGATCCAAACCCAGACTACATACTTCGGACGCTTCAGGTCAAGAAGATCCCGTATACCTCCTACGACCTTGCATCAGACGAGAATGTCGGTCGATCCATCTCACAATCAGAACGTCTCTTCTAATCTGAGTCGGCGGCAAGGCAAAGCGAAGATGGAGGCGAAAGGCACCTGCAGGTGCGGCCGATACTTGCTTGCTATATATATCGTGCTCCTGCATTCTCACACATTGATCAGACAAACAACAGCTTCCCGGCATGCTAGTAGGCGGCAAATTCCCTGGAGTTCGTCTCACGATCCACCGCACTGCGACGATAACTGACACCCTAGCTCCCCTCCAGCCGTTCTCGGAGTTGTCAGTCTTCCCATCTCTCATCTACCCGTGCATTATCCCGCATTCACACTTTGGTCAGTGAAGAAGCAGTCGAATACGACGAACTCGACATTTTCCTGCGGCTGAAGGAGTCCTGGGACCCCGACCTCGATGGAGACGGTCCGGCCCTTGCCGCCGGACCTGTGGGTGTGCCAGGGGCGTACACCCCGCTTGAGATGACGCCCGAGCCTCAGCGGTCGAAGATCATCGCCGCGCAGCATCCCCCGTCTCCGCTCAAGGGCAAGAAACCGATCCCGATCAACAAGCGCGACGATCTGTTCGACGTGAGCACCGAGCTGGATGGATTCGGGCTGCAAGGTGTACATGTGTCCGAGAAAGAGTTGGCAGATCTCGTCGCCGAACTTGGCTTGGACGGAGATGAGGCTGGGGATCTGGTCAAAGGGCTAAGTGGTGCACCTGCCAGTAATTCCAGCACAGACAAGTTGAAACCAAAGGAGTCGGCGCCAGTCGAGCTCGCGAAGCCCGACACAAAGCCTGCCGAGGCGAAAGAGACGATTTCTGAAGAACAAGCTGAGGACAAAGCAACGATCCCCGCTGTACAAGCCAAAGATTCGAACACAGCATCCGTTGGAGAGAGCAAACCTTCGCAGTCGGTCACCGAAGAAAAAGCAGAACCAAAAGAATGAGCGGCTGGCGGTGGGGCGCTAATACTAAACGTGGATTCTTGTATATTTTACAATTCAATGAATGGTTTCCTCTCGAGAGGACGAATCAAGAAGACGAATCAGAATCGGACGCAGAATACTCGTAAATCCTCGACTGCCTTCGTCGCAGAGTTGTCGTAGTGGTAGATCCGGATGCCACAGGCATATCAGTCACCTGTGTAGGGTAGTCCTCCTCTGTCTTGATGGACTACACACGGATTCAACTACAGCACAAGAGAACAGAGATGAAAACATACGGTCTGACTGCCTCGTCCTCTGGCCAGCGGCTTCTCCGATTCACTTGTCCATTCATCGTCCGATGTTGGAGCCAGAGACGGATGTGCCGCGAGGTCTTGGGGTAGAGGAGAAAATGCTGAGGCGTTGTGGTCGAATACCAGTGGCAAAATACATCCAGCCACAATCGAGGACGACACGAAGAAGAACAGAGCCGAGGCCGCCAGAGCAGATAGCAGAGGGAAACGAGTGACCAAACCGCTGCATTTGCGTCAAAAGAGGGGGCTGAATCCGGAACAAACACTTACCGGATACCGTGATGCACTACAGTACCATGCAGAGACGCCGAGGTAACACTTAGTTCGCGGCCTTGCCCTGTGCCCAGGGTCTTCCAGTTGTCTCGTCGTCCCACTTCAATGTGCACAGCAAGCTTGGATGTTCCGGCCGCGTAAGAAGAGAGGACAGGAACGCGAATCGATATCTCTGAAGAAGTGCGCCTGAACAGTCGGGGTTGTGGAGATACCACAATGGCCTGTGAACCCGATTAATAGCGATTCAGGGATGAATAGCGAAGCACGGACCGGTTTTCGGACAGACACTAATGTGTGGTTTCCGCGCGTCAAGAGAGAAAAATTGACCATAAAGTTTCCTAGTGCGTAGTTCGATTCGACTGCAGGAACTTGTAGGTCGAGATAGAAGTCGTATCGCTGTTTGGCGACAAGAGACGGCAACTGAACGTCTGCGTATGGAGGCAGTCCGTCGCTGCACTTTCAGAGTTCAGAGAAGACCTGGTCGGGTCACAATAATCGTACCCATATTGCAGATAGAGTGGTACCCTCCAAGCTACAGCGGCGTTCTCCCAGACAAGAAACCCAGCAGTTGCAGAGAAGAAGGCAAGCAGAGGGAACAAAGACAGGTAGATGAAAAAAGGCAGAATATGAGGTAGCCTCGGTCTCAGAAAGCTAGCGATCGAGACAGCAGCTGTGGCAAGTATGCTGCGACGCGGTGGAGGCGCGTCCACCGCCATCAACGTCATGGCCAAGAAAGGTTGCCTGGCACGTGTTTAGATAGCTGATGTCTCTCAACATCCACAATCTCTTACGCGCAAACCCGTCCTCGGAATCTCTGCGCGAGTACATCGCAGCTCTATACAGTCAGACCAACTTGGTAGTTGCAGAACCAGAAATCAAATCGTATTCCGACGCGGTGTACTTCAACTACTATGCTCTCGGATTGAGTCTGTTGTTCGCCCCCAAGAACGGATACAAGCCCGCAACGGGGTTATCGCGTACGAATCTCAGAGATAGTGACTTGGAGCTCGAGGGACTCGATTTCTATAACGTCCCCAAGCCCACAGCATCCGATCCCCAAACCAAAGGAACCTCAGCACGAAAGGCCGAACTCGCATTCTCAACGTATCCCGGCATGCCTCTCACCCTCCAGCTGCAGCCGGGTACGAGAGACAAGGAGGAAAAAGAGCTGCCTAGCAGGCCGGCTGAATTCTCGGTTGGCCCTGAAAGCACGGGGAAAGATTTCGTCGCGTGTTTTGGGGAGCCTGCTCGGAAGGGTGGCGGTTCTGGGCCGTCTTCTGGCTCAATTGGGATCTGGTGCGAATGGACGCATGATGGACTGATGGTCGAGTTTGGGGGAGACGCGGCTAAAGGCCCTCAGGCATGGGAACGGGGGAAGGATGCCATATGGAAGGTCATAACTGTATTCCCTGTTGGCAAATAGACCATGCTCAAAGCATGGTACCTCCCATTCGCTTTGGGGAGAATCACATTCCCCATGGGATTCACATGCTTCGAGCAATGAGGTCACAGGACGTTCGACGAGGCAGTGATTGCGATACCCCGCGTTCGACCGTTGACTAAATAGGCAGCAGATGTAGTAACTCGAACTCTTCTTCAACTATCTACCACCATGGCTGTCCCTGCAGAGTTCACGATCTTGAACATCACTGGCAAGTTCTCTATGGTTCGTCACGAAGCACTGGTACCTCGTCGCTCATTCCGCTTCCTCACCTTGCACTCAGAACAAGACCTTGACCAATGGGAACGACACAGACACGATCTTGAGGCTCCAAGGCGTCGGTTGGTTCAAGCGAAGCGTTATCGCGAAAAGCACGATCACCCTCTACGTAAAGCACTACAAGGACGACGCAGGGGTGGAGCATATCGATATTGATCAGGGCAGTCTATCCATCTACGCGTGAATACGCGAGATGACGGACCTTCTAGACTCTCACAGGCGGAATCCCTGGGACTCGTGAGGAGCGGGGACTCAATTGGCAGGAACGGGAGGTGAATGACTCGTTGTTCGGGCCAGTTGTCGGCAAATCGAGGTGCGTGAATGGGGCACACCTGCTTCTGCCCCTATGGTCGCATCATGCTGACCTGTTTTGGCAGGCGCGTCCAAGCGAGTGAGGTCACTGAACCGTTCCTCGCGACCCAATGGACCGCAGACACATTCGAGCATGGACTCGTCGAGTCGTATGTGTACAGTGACACGCCGCGGAGCGGGACGACTTGGATCGCTCACCAGGTCTGATGATACGGCAGTATAACTCGATGACCTTCAAAGCTTACATTTGCATCGCAGACTTGGGGAATGGAGGAGATCGACGGAGTTCGTCGCTACGCGCGGCATGTCAAGTTCATTGGCCCCCAAGGGGAGGTCATCGAAACTAAGCTTGTGTATGATTATCGTACGTCGCGTTTCGTCCCCAAGCTCCGAATGCCGCTGATCGTTGCAATATCTTAGTCGGAGGACTGTGATCCATCCATGTACATTTCATGAATCTGACAATTCTATAACCTCTCTTTCACAATCCAACGCGATCCTCTTGAATTTGGCACTACTCCGAACACTGTTCGTCGAAGTGCCAACACGTCGCCTCTTTGCTGGTGAATCCTTGGGGCCGTCGCGCATGGAGTATGACCACGGAACATCGACATCCGACGAGTCGGCCAAACTTATGTGGTCAAATGCTTCATGGACTCCGGAAGGCCGTCGTCGAGAGCCGATCGCTTTTCTGCTCGGTTGCTTGTCTGGGACAATGAAATCATCCATCTCTCCGTAGAAATCTGGCTCTTCAAGCTCTTCGATATCCTCATCCGAGAAATCATTGTGCTCGTGGTCTTCGCTTTCGGGCTCTCGCCTGCGCTTGCTGCCGATGCTCTCCCTGGCCCTGTTCCTTCCTTTACCCTTCGGTTGCTTTGTCCTGAAACAACACTCAAGCTTCGGCGCAAGTGAGTCGGTTTCCAGCCTCTGTTTGGAGAAGCGCGTGAACTGCAGGGCCAGAGGTCCGTTGGAGAGGTACGCCACGGTCTTGTATGCTGTCGAGTGGTAGTTTTCCACGAGATACTTCTTGACCACAAGTTCCACCAGCAGACTCTCCAGATCCTTGATATGTCTTCAGCAGGCAACGTTTGGCGTAAGCTTTGACTCACATCTTTCGTCAGTTCGACCTTGCCTTGGCACACATCCTCCAAATCAAGCGCGGCCTTATCCTTGCCGCTACTGTTGCCGCGGGCCAGGTCGGTGAGCATAGCGAGGGTCAGCTGAGTACCAGAAGTCTTGAAAGCATCCACGATGCGAAGGACCTTCCATGAATCCAACGTCGCGTCTCGCCGCTCGAAGCTATTTGGATCTCGGTTGCAGTTATCGCAATGTCCGCAGCGGCTGAGAGCATCGGCATCTGCTGTGGCCCAGGACGTCAACGACAGTTGCGACGCATGAGAAAAGTATCTGCGGCAATGAGCGACATAGAACTTTCGAAGGACGACGCGCACTTGGCAAAGGCTATCTTGCGACATTCCACCAGATCGTGGGCAAATGCAAGCATGTGGTGGACTGTGGACCCGGATTAGCTGAGCCCAAGCGACCGATGCTTCAGGCCCACATTTATCCGCTCCGCCGCGTTCACTCGCCATCATGCTACTCAGGTTCGAGAAGTCGGCCGGTCGGAAGTATAGCACACAGTCTGAATCTTTTCCATCACGGCCAGCGCGACCTGACTCCTCTATGGCAAGATGAGGTCGCTGAATGAATTTATGCGAAAAAGCAACGGACGATAGTACGAATCCAGAGATTTCTTGAAAACGGATTATAGAAACTGAGCGACGCAAGCTTGAGCAGTGGCTCACCGAAAGCTGAAAAACGCTTGGCCCCAAGCAGAATTCGATGACAAGTTGAACGAACCGTGTGGTGCAGAACAAATCTAACGTCCCCTTTGTCGATTCCGAGGCCGAAAGCTTTTAACATGTTAGTCTGAGCTGGCTGACCTGGAAATCTCGAAAAGAACGGACCAATGGTCGCGCAAACAACCTGAACATCGCCTTTTCTCCATCTCCTGTGCAATGTCTCTTTCTCTTGGTCGCCCCTCTCCGCGTGGTACACTCCGGTCTTGATCTTCCCGCCACTCTCTGCTTTCAAACCTTCGGCGACCTTTTCAGCGTCCTGATCAGCACCGTTAGCGGGGCTCCAGTGAATCAGGTTGTATAAAATACCTTCTTGGTATGACAATAAACGATGCCTGTGTGGTTCGCGTGATTTTCAAGTATGTATTCTTTCATCGCGGTGATTTGAGCTTTCAGAGCTGCTGCTTTGGGGAGAATCTTATAGTGAAGGTTCTTGCGATACAGGGGGGAACAGAAGTAGACAGTTCCGTTGACCTTGGCATCTGTGCCGGAGTCAGGATCCTAGTTTCAGGCTGGGTTGTCATACACGCACCGTTCCCATCAACGACTCCCTTGAGGCCAAGCACCCGCAAGAGATCATCCAGCACTCGTGGGGGACATGTCGCGGATAGAGCCATAATGGGAACGTGTGGGAAGTTTTGTCGAAGTATATGTAGCTTTTGATAGTCAGGCCGAAAGTCGTGGCCGAGTTGTGAAATACAATGGGCTTCGTCAATCACGATCCGAGCTGCGCCAGTTGAGCCCAAAATTCTGTCACCAGACACACACTCACCGAGTCGGCCACCATCGACCAGCTTCTGCAACATAGACATGAAGGTCTTGCTCTTAACGATCTTCTCTGGCTGCGAAAGCGATCAAACTGCTGTTCTCCGGGTCTAACATTCATCTTACAGTCACATAACAAAGCTTAATCTCTCTGCCTTGTGTTGGTCGATTCTGTGCCATTGCCACCAGCCTGCTGTTGATCTCGCGAGCCTCTGCTTTTGGTGTCCCACCTGTGATCTTCACAGCTTCGACTAGTTGCCGTCAAATGCGGATTTAGACATCATATGTCAGTCCACGCACTGCCTGCTTCGCGAAGGTGCAATATCTGGTCTGTAATCAGGGAGATCAAGGGTGATACGACCAGGGTGCATCCAGGGTTCAGTAGGGCAGGCAATTGGTAGGTCAAGCTTTTCCCGCCGCCTGAAATAGTAAGACATATGTCTGGGACTGTTTACGGTACTTACCAGTCGGCATTACACATACAATATCGCGGGAGTCCATGTTGGCATTACATACGCTGAACGATGTCAGTTTCCTGCACCAGAAACAGTGTGAGGATTGCCCACCCTTGTTGGCACAGTCGAAAATCGCGGATGTTGAATACTCTCTCCATTTGATTCTTGAGCTCTCCGTACCAGGGGAAGTCGTCCGAGCTGTAGTCCGTTCCAGAAACGCCATCGGTGTTCTTGCCCTTGGCATTGCCCGGAGCCACACTAAGCTGTTCTAACTCCTGCAAGAGTTTTCGCCTCTCGTCCGAGCGGAGGGCAGAAAGGGCTTGGAGTTGCCCTATCTCCTCCCGGATGTTCGACAACTCCGCATCGAGCTTCGCCACCTCCCTATTAAGCTCCTGCTTGCGTTGATCATGAGGCACAGCGATGTGAGGGTTCGAGACGCGGGAGGGCCCGGCTCCCCGGGTCGATGCCGGCAGGCTTCGTTCGTGTCTGGACATCTCTAATATCTCCTCGAGCTAGATGCGCTTCAGCGGACGGGAACGGCACATACTCTGATCGGCACGAACATCATCAGAACCGGCTTGGTCGTCGTGATAGCGATACGGCATGGAAGTGGAAAGGACGCGTGATCTAGCGTGTAAACAAGTGTTCGGAGGGAGCTGGGGACTCTTGGAACATTACAGGGTCGGTCTCGGACGGAAACAGTCTAGGCAGGAGAGAAACGCGCTCAATGTTGCGCCCTGTTTTGGTCAGCGGATTTGACTTCCAGCATAGCCACGATCGTGGGCTGTCAGCCCGCTGAGTGGGCGATACTAATTTTAGCGTAATCATACTTGCCCTCTTACACACTCACTTCCCGCATGTCGGGCGAAAGCTCGAAGACGAGCTCTTCTCGAACACAGAGCGTCGACTTTCTCAGCCACGACTTACCCGCCTCCAAACCCCCGATACATACCTTCGACGTTGAAGACGCCCGACCCACTCTCGACATACATCAGCCGGCCCGCGGGGGCTTCGTTGCAAGGATCCGCCAACAATCTGCGCGGTTCCCAAGGTTGAACAAGGTCTTTCTGTGGCTAAGAGGACCTCGTCCGAAAGTCGACCTTCCTGGTATTCCTCTTGGCGCTCGATAAATATGCACGCGAGTTGACTCTGGATAATACTCAGATCCCAAACCTTTCCTCGACATTGACTTCCATGTTCGTGGCCGCCACATCTCACTGCCTCTCGAGAGAACCTGGCTGCGACTCACTCGGTTCGTGCCGAGCCATCTGCTGACCGTTGTCCTCGGTAACTCGACTCTCACAAACCGTTGCATATCCGCTCACGCAAGGGATTAGTTGCCGCATACATCATATCATTAGCCTTCTTTGCAAGAGCCCAGTTCTTCCAGACTCCAGCCGACGCTTTCATCAGCTGCACGGCTACTTATTGGCTGTCTGAAGGCAACTGCGGCCTTGATGGCCAGGCATGCGCCCCATTCAACGGCTCGTCGCTCGAGTGAGTGCCCCAGTCAAGGACAGCACATCATACCAATGATTCGGTCCAGCTTCCGATGCCCTGCTGGCTGCGCAGGCGTCATCCTGGCCAACCCGCGGACCGTCGGAGACGAAGAGATGGACTTTGTGCCGTTGATTGTCGGCGGAGGCGATGCGAACCGGACCTATCGCGGCGACAGCTTCATTTGCGCTGCTGCAATCCAATCGTACGTGATAGGCTATGTGGGATTACTTTGCTAAGCCCATGCAGCGGACTGATCAGCAACCGTCGAGGGGGATGCGGGACACTTGATCTTGTCGGCACGTTCGCGAATTTCTTGCCTACCAGTGGCAACGGGCTGAACTCCATCGGGTTTCCCACCGTCTTTCCGCTGTCGTTTCGCTTTCGCCAAGTGACAAGCCTCCATCACTGCACGGATCTGCGAGACTACGCACTCGTTTTCAACGCGCTCGTGACTGCAGCGCTCTTCCTCTTAGTACGACCCAAGCCCATCGTTCTTTTCTGGTGCCTGGTGAGCATCGGGTACTGGCACATCGTGCTGTTCTCCCAGCCAGGCGGACCTCCCCCTCCGCTCGATGTTGCGTTCGGGACATTTCTTCCCGCGCTCTTCATCGCTTATGCGTTCTGGTCAATGGCTTGGCGGTGGTGTCTTCCGGCGTTCAAGAGAGCGCCCATCGAGGCGATGGTGCTGTATCTGCTTCCATACTGGGTCGGTGTCCTTGCTGGCGAAACAACGGACCGTTTGCCCCTTCAACGGCTCACGGCAAGTGACTTGCATAAACGCTCTGGGGCGATTGTCACGTTGCTGGTGATCATCGTGATCATTATCCTGGTGGCCATCATCCAACTGCGCGATTTCCGCAGGACAGGCTGGCTTCCTTATTACGTGGGCTGGTACGTTGCCGGGGGGCTTGTCGTGATGGTGCTCGGCCTGCTCCCAACACTGGTGCTCCGAATCCATCACTACTTCCTGGCCATGGTACTCATGCCAGGCACGGGCCTTCCCACTCGAGTCTCCGCCCTGGCCCAAGGCTATTTACTCGGTCTGTTCCTGAATGGTGCCGCAGCTTACGGATTCGACCCTATCTTGCAGACACATGCTGACGTGAGTGATCTGACGGCTTGCTTGCGCGCGTTACTGAATGCACCGCAGCTGGTCCAAGACGCCACCCTAGGATCAGATTTGGCTACGTTTGTCACCAATTCCTCCACCTACAACGCGACTATACCACTGGTGAATCAAACTCTGTTTTGGAGCCCTCCGCCCGCGGGGTGGGATGGATTCTCGCTTCTGATCGATGATGTCCAACGATACGTCGGTCCGGCTCTCAACTTTTCTCTCGCAGCGCTGCAAACTGGCTTGCCACACTTTTTCCGACTAGCCGTGAGTGTGACGCTTTCTCGCCCAGGCGATGGCGGTGATGCTGACTATGTATACGCAGCTCACATCAAGTGGCACTCCAGGTGACTACACCCATGCGGCTGTGCTCGAGCCTAATGGCACATGGATCGATCCAGCACCGGGTGCGACGTAGAGTATGTATAGCAGAGCGCCAATGACTACTATCTATTGAAGAGTGTGACATCTACAAAACGAGTGACGCTATGTAACAACATGGGTATCGGAAAGATGGACAGAATTAATTTTACAGGTACTACAGACAGACACGAGATCCACATTTAGAAATAATTAGAGCAAAGGAAGGTGGGGGACGCTACACCAGTAGCGTCGGCATCATCATCATCATACAACACTCCCAAATCGCGTCGCAGTTCCCGTTCCTGTATGGGCCCGCGGTCGATTCACAACACTAGCCTTGCCTGGCTCAGATTGGAACGTCATAGGCGGACGGCCTCGTCCACAGGTCATGCAGTAGTCGCCCTCGTGGGCTGCCTCGACTTGCGCTTTAAGATCACGCACTTGGCCTTCCAGTTCCCAGATATGTCGCTGCCACGCTTTCTTCGCGCTGACGATCTGATCTTGCAGAGCCTGGACCAGCGCAGACTGATCCTCTGTAATCGGTGCCATCTTGTCGATGTTGCTCGGGCTCCGGGCCAACACAAGCCCTGGCGTCACGGGCGACATCGCGGTGCTCGGGCTGAGCGACTCCAAATCTTCATTGTCGGGCGAAATGATATGATCCCCGAACTTCGCACTGAATAGCGTCGACACCGGCCGCAACTTCAGTGCAGGAAACTCGGTCACATTCGGAGGCGCGCTCTGCGGCAGGTCCAGCTGGTCCCAATTATCAGAGCTGTGCGGCGGCAAAGTCCGCGTCTGGAAATCCTCCGCGGCAGACGCCGCCCGCAGTCGAGTGGCCTGCCCTGTATTGATAGAAAGCGGTGGACGCGAACTCGCGTTTCCCGGGAACTCTGGGCCAAACATCGATGGGGAAACTGGAGGGGCTGGAACTCGCGGAATGGATCCCTTCCTTCCGGCGGAGTGTGCCTGAGCAGAGGGCTGCGAGTGCTGACCACTGAATGCCGCATAGCCATCAGACAATGACGGAACCGGCGGCGGCGAAGCCTTTTCGTCCTTCTCTCGGCCGTTGAACAATCTCATAAAACCACTCTTCTTGTGCTTGATCGTTTTGCCCGGCGAGGGTTCCTGGTTCTGTGCGCCTCCGACCATGGTCTGCAGAGCACTCTTCGCCCGGGCACCCGTGCTGATCGACCGCGCCCTGGTCCTACCTGTCGGGCTCAGGTCCGTGCTCTCGGCTGAGGCCAACACATCCGGGAACGGGGTCGACGACGTCGAGGATACAGACATATTATTGTTCGTCGTAGCACTTCGGGACCTCTGCGCCCGAGCTTGCTCAAGAGATATCAAGTCAAACGCAGGCGAGCCACTGTGTTCTGTCCAGCCAGGAGGCAGAATCGGGGTCATTTGAGGAGAGGACACGTGATTGATGTTGCTGGTCCCGGAGTGAATCGGCAACGGTCCTGAGATTTCCCGTCCGTGGAATGTCGATGAACGAGAGCGAGGGCTCTGAGTCGGAGACATCGTCGAGGTTGACGTATCAGGCGTCAAAGTTGGGGCGATTGATCTGCTGAC